CTAATGTACCACTCGGTTTGAAGAATCCTGTAAATATAGGGTGTTTCTGAAACAAGTAGCAAGCTTACAGAAGGTGATAGGGAACTATAAAACAAGAAAATTAAGTAAATGTTTGCTGGTCCGAAAGTCCACCGTTTTCGAGAAAAACGTATGTGAAAATATAGACAAAAGTCAGTCCGGCCCTCATAGGATCACGTAAGGGGCTTCAACAATTCAATGCCGCAGTAAATCAGCGGGTAATTTGAAATTGTGCCAGTTAAGTACAGGAGGTGTTTTGGTGGCACTTGCGTACAGCTCTACTACCGGTCTAGACGGAGAACTCTTTACAAAAATAAAGACTGATCGAATATAGTTTTATTTATTGTCATAGATGGTGGCCACTTTGCATAAGTCATTGCTGCTGCAGTTATGATTGTAAAAGGAATAATCGGCAAGTCTTATCCATAAATAAGAATGATCGATTATGATTCTGCAAATTGATATATTGTTTATAACTTATGAAATTTTTAAAATCATTTTCAGAAATGTAGGTTGTAACCTAACCTCTCCCAAAAGCGATAAAGTAGTGGACAAAGGGTCGAGATTGACATCACTGTAATATAGTTCTGTAACTTTGCATACATCAAGAATACTAATTCATAAATAGTTTAATTGCTTATATAGTAGTAATATAGCAACGTTAATTTTTTATTTTTCTTTCGTGTTCTTAATACAATGTTGAGGTGTATGTTAAATAATGCTGCACGTTTAATATATTTTTATCAAAATGGGTGCTTATTTTATTAAGCTCCTGTTAGACGGCTTTTGGATTAGCAATCCACGCTCCATGTGACGGGTTCGGCGCGACCTGGAGCGTGCAGGCGCGTCCTAGAGCGTCCTTTGGCTTGTTTTCACAGCGGCAGCGGGCGCGGAGATTGCCAATTAAGAATCATTCATCATCATTCAATCAAATATAATAGATAAGATTTTCAAATATATTGAACATTATTTAAACTTTCTATATGCACATGAGTTTATGGTGCCTTTTGTATGTACGGTCATGCAAAATGCAAAATTATTGGACCTTATGTAAATATGTACAAATCAAATTTGATAATTACATATTACATTACATATTATATTATATTACATTATGCATATAGAAAGTTTAAATAATGTTCAATATATTTGAAAATCTTATCTATTATATTTGATTGAATGATGATGAATGATTCTTAATTGGCAATCTCCGCGCCCGCTGCCGCTGTGAAAACAAGCCAAAGGACGCTCTAGGACGCGCCTGCACGCTCCAGGTCGCGCCGAACCCGTCACATGGAGCGTGGATTGCTAATNGGTGGTTAGCTGTTTCTGAAGACTAATTAAATAATTATTAAAAAGTATTGAAATATTTAAAAGTTTTTTTTTATTTTAACATATTAAGGAATGTTTACCACAGAAGAATCTATTTCTTTTGTTAGCCATTGTATTTGTTAATAATCGAAACATTTCACATTAAAGTCTAAATGGCAATACTTAGCGGTGGTGTTAAAATTGTTACCGCTTTTGGTTTTTTCAAAATGCCTGACAAATACTTGAAGTGAATTTGTTTACATTTACTGATGATGCTAGAGAAAGAATGCGCCTGGACGTTCCTTCACGCTCCAGACCGCTTACACGGTTTGTGTACTGGCAATCTCCGCGGCCGCTGCCGACGTGGAAACAAGGCAAAGGACGTACTAGGACGCGCCTGCACGCTGCAGGCCGCGGCGTTTAACAGGGGCTTAATATATCCTTTAGCCGTTCCACAACCAGTAGCATACGTTTACAATCTCCCTTGTTATAGTTGCTTATTTGTTATTGCAACTCTCTGTACTAATACCTTTTTTGTCAATTCACGCCCAGGAACTAACTTGGTATTGCAATTTCTTCAACTTTTTGAAAAAAAGTATAGGCGTGCAAAGAAGTTTTTTAGCAAAATCAAGTAAAAAACGAGAATTATTCAGAATTTTATTATATTATATTATATTATGCATATTAATTTTGTGTAATTAAAAACTGAAATAAAATACAATGGAAATGTGAGATTATTTTTCATTACTATATAAAATCATTTTCAAGCACTTAAAAGTAAAGTAGTTTTTGGGTGTCGTGATGATTTGTAATTTCTTCGATTATCTATATTCAAAACGAATCATCTCTCCTAGAAGAAAACTCGTGTAGATTTAACAAACTTTAATTACAAAAAATTGTTTATAGGAGGGTGAGCCAGCATTGGTGACGTAATATTTATTAGAATGGGGCGTTGAAAGTGTGACAAATTTTGAGTGACGTATTTTAGGAACAGTCCCTAGTAACACTATACCTTTAAAGCTACCATAATTTCACGCGGACATACCTACGATGTAATATGTTCCTCTTCTTTCCCTTAAAATGTTTAACGAAAATAATCAGAGCTGATTAGGGCCGTAAAAGCTGCAATATATACTGAAGGTATTAAGAAATATTACAAGAGAGCTAAATTATTATGATCTTACAGGGTTTTTTAAGTCACAATATGTACCATACACCACGACGGTTTGCAACCCGTGTATTCTGACTTAAAATACTCAATAAGATCATATTCATTTGGCACTTTGTAATATTCTTTAACACTTACTATATATTGTAGTTTTGAAAAAATCTTAAACCAGAGGCGAAACGTTGGCGTTTTATTCTAATAAATCTTTTTATGCCCCTAATTAGCTTGATTACATTCATATCTATGACGTTTCAGTGTAATCACAATCGAACAATTACACATTTATCGATATCTCATAATAATCGTTCAAGTTAAGGCATTAAATTACAAAATAACGAGCATCTCTTAAATTTATATTAATTGTACAAGTGTCTTCTAAATAAAAGCGAAGTTGTATGTATCCAATGTACAATATTATGTTTAGTTTGAAGACACCTGTACCCTAAATATAGAGAAAATTTTGGCATAGGGCCAACTATAGAGGAAGAACAAAATTCCTTATTCGTAAGAGTATAAGATATATATTTTAATTGTCGTTTCTATAGTATTTTCTGAGACATCGTACTATTATGGTAGTTAAATATACGGTACTAAAAATCTTTTAATATAAATTGATATACCTATAATACATGTTGTTTCGTTTGTTTATCTTATATTGTCTTCAGAATTTAACACCTGTTTTTCATACTTTTTGAATAGTTTTTATATATTTTACTGTCAATTATTCTGATTTGTAGGTTTTCTTGAAATATTTAGTATGTTGTACAGTTCACAGCAGTGAACAAGAACATGTACAGGGTGGGCCAGAAATAGGGTTCCCACTCAAAATTTTAGAAAATCTGATGATCATTCGAATAAGTCTGAAGACATTCATTTAATAAGTATATGAATGTACAAAAAGAGCTTCCTCATTTTTGAATAATTAAAAAATAATCAACTAGTAGATTAAATCATTAATTTATTTAAATATTTTAAATAATACAAACTCAATTAATTAATTAGTATAGTAACTATATTTTATCTGACATTCAATAAGAACATTGCCAATAAAGGAACAATAAAATTTTGTTTTTCATAAAAATTGAAAAAAGTATGTAAAAATGCATATATAACATCCGATATTTCCCTCAAAACCCAATAACCTCTGTAAAGTGAATTTTGACCAATTAGTAAATGTCGATTTCAACATGTATTCATGTGGTAGTTTCAAAAAAAGACACCCGATATAGATAATGTTATTATGTAATAAAAGGAAAACAGACGTTTTTGGCGTAAGTCTGCAACGAGTATCTACCAATGTCTACACACAATGCTCCTTATAAAAGTTTAATTCATCCCCACCCTGCCCTACCCCATCCCTCCCTACTCTACCCTACCCTACCTTACCTTACCTTACCTTACCTTACCTTACCTTACCTTACCTTACCTTACCTTACCTTACCTTACCTTACCTTACCTTACCTTACCTTACCTTACCCTACCCTACCTCATACCATAACACTACCCCATCCCACCCCACCCTTCCATATCCTATCTTACCCAAATTTAAGTTATCCTAATCTAAACTAACATAAACTAGGTATGTTAGACCGTAAGTACATCGTCGAAGGCATCATTAAGAAAGAGTAATACGTTCATGTTTTTAGACAACAATGTTACCAGACCATTAAAATTTGAAAACATCCAAAAATTTATTTGATACTTATAATTTGCGCGCATAAGCATGTATTGTATTTAAAGAGCATGTAACTGTATGTATGTTGGTATACAAATACATACACAATACGTATTAAGGAATTTTGCTTTTATTTAAATTACCTTCATTGTATGTATTATAGGTAGGTAAATAAAAAAATCTTGATTGCTTAATAGCTGTACTAAAATAGTAATGGATCGTTCTTATTGTTTTGTATCTACATTTCAATAGCAAAATTACACACGTTGTATTTTCTGTTTATATAACTGTGTACGTATGTGTAGTTCATAGTTTCGTTCTATCTAATATCTTTCTTAAATCCTTTTTGATTGTCAACTGCCCTGCACCAAGTGAGCGATGATTAAAAGGAAAGGCATATTTTCGTCATTATTCTAGCACAGTAACTCTTAAAACGCAAAATTATCTATAGTTTTGAATTTGTAGTGTTCATTTCATAATTTGCGTTTTTCATTTCAACTACTTACATTCATTCCGCATCATATTAATTTTGAAATTAGCTGTGTATTATTAAATATGGATAGTGGACTTAATAAACCTTTTATGTTTATTGGTTAGCGAATAATTACTATATTTTAATCGAGAAAGATACTTTTATCGAAATAAAAAGCAATGGAATAGTCGATATTTGGCACCTAACTGATGCATTTACATCACAACTATTAAAAAATCCCTTAAAAAAGTAATTAAGTCCACTTTTCAACGACATTCATAACAACAAAATAACTTTTCTTACTTACTAAAAGTCAATGAATCATCTGCAGATTGACATTTGTTTCTTATTATCAGATCCTCCTCAGTTTTCCACTACATGCGGTGCACTAGAGGACGATATCAACATAAGTGATGTCAGTAAGTAGTTAAAAAATCTAATAATAAATTAATTTATGTACTATATTTAGTTGCCTGTTTATAACATTTTATCTTCAGGCTGTGTCGACAGAAATGAAATTGATGAAATACGGCCGGGCCGCAACAGGGGGGGTCCGCCCGGGCACCCACTCGATTTGGGTTGAGCACCCGGTTCAAAAGTTCACGCTCGTCGAAGTGACCTTTTTTGTTCTTTTTTAGTCATTTATAGTATTATGAACCGAACTCAACTCAGCCAAACTCAATTTTTCCATTTTTCCAATACAATACATTGATAACCTTTTTTTTATTTTTAACTCATTTTTGAGCACCCAGTCAAATTGTAACGTTGTTGCGCCCCTGAAATAAGGCACTAAGGTTAAATCGGCTTGTAATACATAATACATAGTTCAAAATAGGAAAAAGTGATTCAAATAAAAGTTATGCAAACTTAAGTGTACGTAATGACGTAAAAATATTTTCAAATATGGCGGACCCCAATTTTGTTAATTTAAATGGAAGGTCCTGTACATTATTACATTTTTGAATTCCCCACAAAATCAAATGTCAGTTTATTAATATTATATTGGATCCATGTCGCAACGTTATATAGTTATTTCACATTTTTTATAAAATGAGACGCTTGTAAGGGTTTGTATCATTTTGAATACTTTCAAAACGGAAGCATATTACAAAATACTGTCTAAGTAGTATGTGACATTCTTTTTTTTTTTTTTTCAGAAAGAAACGCGAAAAACGCATCTCTTTAAATGCTTTCGGTCCGAAAATATTCTAAATTGTGCAAAACACTGTAAACGTCAAATTTTCTAAAATGTTCAAAAAATGCGTCTTCTTTAGCAGCAATGTTACGCAATGTAAATTGCTGTTATAATAATCCCCATCGTGAATATTTAAGTATTTATTCTCATTTCTTTTGTAACAAAATCTGTGAACTTCGCAATCAAAAATCAAATATCCTAAGCATAAAGAATGTTTTTTCATTTTTACTCATCTTATTTCCCAATTTTTTTAAAAAGAACATATACATATAAAAGTTTATAAGGATGCAGTTTGTGTTTATGTAAAATGCGTCCTTTTTCGGCACTCCAATAAGAAAAAATAAACACAGAGCAGTAGGTAGCGAAACAGCATGCCTATTTTACAGCAAGGAAGCTGGAGCAACAATATTTTCAGACGAGATAGCTATATCGAGCCACCAAAATTGATTTTTAAATCTTCATTACCAAAAGGTTTCGATTAAATGTGCGCGTCTTCCTCGCAAACTTTTTTTCTCTCTTCCGTATTGTTTCCTATAGAAAGTTTATATTTAGTTAAATAACTAGGTAAATTTGGAAAAATGCAAGGTATAGAATCTAATTTCAGTTTTGGTCTTGTGGGAATTTCTGTGAAATTACTGTTATTTTGAAGATGCTTATTTATCAGTTTTAACAAAAGCTCTATCTTTAAAAACATACAACTAAATGCTTTGTAAGTACAATGTTTTTTCGCGGAATTGCTTTTAATAGTTTTTGCTTTAAAATTTCATCATTAGGGAAACAAAAAGTGATAACTATGTTCCTCCTGCTTTCAATGTACTATTATAATTGGATTTACATCCAGGAACACGAGTACGCGGTATTTTTATATATACAAGAAATGCAATTTTTATAAGACTTACTGCTACTCAAAACTACTAGAAAATGATAGTCACTAGATACGAAGAACTACACTAACACTAAGCAAATGTCTTTTTCATTTAAAGTTTAAATTAGCACAAGCTAACAATATAAACAGTTTTTAATAGAAAAAAACATCAGATTTTCACACAACACACGTAAACATGAATAAGCTCGTGGAAGTCCCGACGTACATGCATCTCTCGTCCTCGTGACTCCTGGTATACCCGCTCACTATGTTGCCAGATTGCCTACTTCATGGCTTGTTAGATAGAGGTGGCTGTAGTATTAACTATATGTCCCATAATGATGTGCAAGCATTTTCAAAAATCGAGTAGATACTGATACTCTACATCCCAAGTATCAGATATTTTGTAGTCATTATTTAGTAATCATCAAATACATCCGATTACTAATACTTTATACAATAAATCCGCAATCGTAAACATAAGTAATTAAAAACTCGATCGTTTCTCGGATTCTTAGTTTTTTAACCGCTTTTTACCAAGCCTTTGACCGATTTACTTGTTCTCTGTTAATTCTCTGTTAAGAATAGGACAAAATTCCTAGAAATTCGCGAAAAAATAATGCCAGATGCAGCCTTTGTTCGACCCCAAGTTGCCAAACATTTTTTTTGGTAAGCAAAAAACTGTAAAAACACCAATTTAGTCCGAGCGCACCTTTTTTATATGGGATTCGAGTAACGAATACTTGACGTCCAAGGATTCGGTTACTTTGGAACTGCGTAAGTATCAGGTATTAAAGTATCGAGTAGATACTATTCGTCTACCACTACTGACTTAAGTATTGTTGTTCCAGCTTTTTTACTGTAAAATGCTTTTTCGCTACCTACTGCTCTGTGCTACTTTAAAAAAAATTAATATCTCGAAAACGATAAATTTTAGAAGTATGAAAGCCTTATGAAAGTCTATCTAAAATCATAAGTAGAATTCAAAACGAGCATACCCAATAACGCTATTGTACAAATTTTCCGTGAGACACTCTGTATGTATACGTCATGTATTTTTCATTTATTTGGAAGCCATTTGAAACTGGTTTAATAATAAAGAAAGCTGCTCTCCTGTTTATAATTGTTTTCAAATTGCTACATCAGCAATGGATAGAGCTGATTTGACTTTTCAAAGTTTTAACTAATCAAATAGATAGCCCTGACATTAGTTTATAAGTGATTTTCGACTGCCTATAAACGCCTAGAGGCCTAGACTTTTAGTAGAGTGTTAAGAACCAATAATAGAGGCTTCTAATTACCACCATTATACTCTTAATAGAAGTTGAAACTGCCCAATTATATCCAATGATAATGTCAATTCGTTTGATTATTATAATAAATATTTTTACAGCGTTCTTCAAACTGAGTGGTGTATTAGACGTTTTAAGGAAACTAAACATGTAAGAGATTTGAAAATTTGACAGTAGGGTTTATCGAGAATAATAACTAAAATAATTTCAACTGATAACCGCTTCCAGTTATACCGGAAGTTGATGCCAACTTTGTCATTTTAAATAGAACAGCATATTTTTTACGAATTCGTATGAAACACAAAAAGTGTTAAAAATTAGTGAAATATCCACTTTAGATAAAAGTCCAAATTTATTCAAAAATCAAATAAATCAATATAAAACATCCACGCGAATGGAAAGAGGATAAAAAAAGGAATGTAATGATAGTATAATATTGTAAAATATATAAATAAAATACTGGTATGCAAGTAAAGAAAAAGTAGGGAAAAAGTGAATATAAATATAGGACACGAAAAATTAGAAGAAGTGGCTGATTTTTGGTATGTAGGAAGTCTGATAAGTCAGGACGGAATTAGTAGTAGGGACATAAAGCAGAGGATAGCGCAGGTCGAATCGTCTTCAATAAAAAATGCTCGCGAACGGTTAATTTGGAAATTCCAAAAAGGTTGTTAAAGGTGTATGTTTGGAACTCGGTACTGCACGGGTGCGAAACATAACGGTAGGTGCGGTGGAAAAGAAAAGGTTAGAAGCGTTTAAAATGAGGTTAATGATGAGGATACCGTGGATAGAGAAAGTTAAAAATTAAGTGGTATTTGAACGGAGGACTCCATGGAAGTCAATAAGAAATAGGTGAGATAGGTTGGCAGGACACCATCTCAGGCATGAAGGTCTAGCCAGAGACATATTAGAAGCTGAAACAGGAGTTAAGAGGAATAGAGGTAGACCTAGATTAGATTACTGTTCGCAAATAGTTAAAGTTTTGGAGTGTTCTAATTTTAAGGATTAAGGATTAACTCAGGATAGGAAAGAGTGCAGGTGCGTGTCCAACCAGTCTTATACTGACGACCTTATGATTGATGATGATGAACCAGTACTAAAAATAAAAACTTTCTTAAAGTATTTGTATACCTACATATTGTGTCAGCGTTTTGGCTCCTTAATTTTGGGCTTTCATGACTAAAATGAAATTATATCGCAAGCGTACACATTTAAGCATAGACTGTGATAAAATTTACTTTCAGAGCCAGTACATTTCTATTGTAATTATATTTGTACATTTTATATGCTATATGCAATCTAATTCAATTAATAAATATACATACACTAACATGTTGAATGTAAACTTGAGGGCTAAAGATTTAAAGCTAATTTAATTTATTTTTGTTTTGAAGCGGACCAAGAACGCTGTCGTAAATTCAGAAAAAGACTTCATAGCAATAAATTGTCATGATATTCCCTTTACTGCTTTACTGAATAGGTATCTACTTTTAAATATTCATGTTACAGTGAGCGATTTAAGTTTCTTTAGAACCAAACATAAATTTAGTCAGTTGGTGATAGAGTAACAAAATAAAACTCGGTAAAAATATCTTTTCAGGCAACATTCATGTTCTTTTCTAAAAATACATTAATGAAGTAAGCGATGTATTTGAACCTCCCAAAAAATAAGAAAGAAATAAATTTTACTGACAACAATTAAAAAATTGAGGAAGACTGGATGAAATATTACTAATTGTAAGAGTAGGTAATTTCGTTCATTTTCACTTTAATTGTTAAGATTTTTATTTAGAAGGAATTAGGTTGCATTAAATACAAATGTAATCGTTCAACTATCAATTTTTAATTGTACAGCCATATTTATAGCAATGCCATATCAAATATTTTAATATTTGTGAATTTTAACGGAAATTTAACATTAGAGACAAATGAAGAAATAAAACTAGCGCGCATCAACTTGAGATATGATGTAAACATTCTGAAAATAAACATAAGTGTGTTAGGAATGTAACCATTCGAGGTAACTATTCGTTATAAATTTTGAAATTTACCTACTTATTAGAAGTTATTTCGTTAATAGTAATCATTCGTAATAATAGCATTGGTAATTGTCACTAAAATAGTTTATAACATTATTATTAATCAAATCACACAGTGACTGCGCAAACTAAAGTAAAGAGAGTAAAATGGTTATATTTTAATATGATTTGCGCATGCAAATTTTTCAAAAATCAGTTGTGTGCTACAAGAACGCATGCGCTTAATTTTTAAAAAATGCGCATGCGCGAATCCTGATACAAAAATGCAAACTAACACAACTGAACATGTTCGTTTACTTTTATATTTATTGCTTAGATGAACAAACTAATAAATTCTATGAACTTATGTAATTTATCTATTAATAATACTATTAGTTGAAGTTATCCAAGAGGATCCGGACTTCAAGCAGTCCAATTCGAAATCATCAGCTATGTATAACGGAGGACCGGATACCGAGAACGCTCCTTTGCAATTGGAGCAGCCTATAACAGCAGCTCAGGCCCGACGACATTGTTATGTTAAAATTATTGAACAGCCAGCACCTAAGGCACTTCGTTTTCGTTATGAATGCGAAGGAAGATGTGCCGGATCAATTCCTGGAGTTTCAAGTACTCCAGAGAACAAAACGTATCCTGCTATTCAGGTGATAGGTTATAAAGGAAGAGCTGTCGTGGTGGTCTCGTGCGTCACGAAGGACCCTCCCTACAGGTAAGGAAATTTTCTCTATTTTATCTGTACATGTACTTCTTTTTAGAAAAAATCCAAATTAACTGTTTCATAAACTCTATTTCAGGCCTCACCCTCACAATCTAGTAGGAAGGGATGGTTGTAGGAAAGGCGTGTGTACCCTGGAAATTTCACCGGAAACAATGTCTGTAACTTTTCCAAACTTAGGGATTCAGTGTGTCAAAAAAAAAGACATCGAAAGTGCTCTGAGACAGAGAGAAGAAATTAGAGTTGATCCATTTAGAAGTATGTTTAATTTTTTCATTTGTTTAATTGTCCATTACTAAAAATTTTGCATCTTCTTCAGCTGGGTTTTCGCACAGAAACCAACCAACGTCCATTGATCTAAATGCTGTAAGGTTGTGTTTTCAAGTGTTTTTGGAAGGTGAAAGGGGAAGATTCACGATACCTTTAACACCGGTAGTTAGCGAATCCATTTACGATAAAAAGGCAATGTCCGACCTTGTAATCGTCAAATTATCAGACTGCGTAACGACCGTCGATGGCGGGAAAAAAGATATAATTCTTCTTTGTGAAAAAGTATGTAAATAAAATACAATTATGTTAAGCAGGGGCATAGTTAACGTATGTCTAGGCCTTAAGCATTCATGGACCATTTCGTAATGCAATGTGCAATGCTTACATACTGCTGTGATTGCAATACGAAATATTATAGTTTGATATCAGCTTACGATCACGACCCAGGTACAATATTTATTTTTTGTATACTTACTTTATGTCAGTGCATTGTCGTCTTACTTTTGTTACTGTGCATTAGGCATGTTTACCATCATATTGCACCGTACAAGTTAAAGCACTATTTTCATCTTTGTATAAAAAATGTTGTACCATTCATTATTAAGTGCACAATGAAATGCATTTAAGTTTACGGAATAATTTTTTCTTTACTGGGGCCCTAAAAATATTTTGCATCAACTATTTAGCTGTGTCATAGATGTTAAGAATAATAAACATTATATTTATCTAATAGTTGAAAGATGAGGGTACTACTTGTCAAAATTTTTTAATCAATAATAAATAAAGAACAAAAATATTTCTGAAATATTGTGAGTATGTTTACACTACAATTATTGATTTACCATATAATAACTGCCTCTTCAGACAAACTTATTAAAACTTTTTTTTCTTTATTTATTACCGCTACATTTGTCGTTTTTAGGTGGCAAAAGAAGATATTCAAGTTCGTTTTTACGAAGAAAAGGAAAATCAAGTGGTGTGGGAGGGTTTCGCTGATTTCCAGCCCTCTCAGGTTCACAAACAGACTGCAATTTGGTTTAGACCTCCGCGGTATAGGACTTTAGAAATTACGGAACCTGTCAAGGTTTACATTCAGTTGAGAAGACCTTCAGACGGATCCACTAGTGAACCTCTTCCTTTTCAATTCTTACCCTTAGATTCAGGTAGGCCAGCATTTTGGTCTTTTCGTCGAAATTTAACCAAAAAGGAAAACTATAATTTCTTCAGCACAATACTAGCCAACGATACTAAAATGCTGAACAAAAGACAACTTGGCAGCATTCCCCCCATTCATTCGGAAAGTATTAGTCATAAGTGCAATGTTAAATTATCTGAAAATATCGTTTCATCTTCTTCTAATAATTCTTTACCTATGGACACATCTGATCAAAGCAATAGTATTTGTAAACCTATTTCATCTGCTAAAATTATCCCAGACATGCCTGAAATTCAAGAAGAAAAATCGTTTAATGAGTTAATCGATCAAGTCGCGGAGCTTGATGAAATCTACTCACAAACCCGAATCCGAAAGCTGAGCGGAGAGAACAATTTGAATGACGAAACCTTCGATGATACCAAAACATACACTAGTTTACAAATGGCTTTTGCGAATCCTATAAAAATGAAATTCTGTCCAGTCCATGAAGACTCTGCAGCAGTAACACCATTGTCCCCAATTAGCGAAGTTTCAAATTTAAAACGCGAAAATGAAACAGAAAAACTGCCCCCTTTACCACCAAAACGATCAAAAAAAGTTACTGATATCTGTGAACCGTACGTTCCGAAGGATGGTTCGATGCAGAATATCCAACTGAGCGAAAAGCAAGCCCAACTTGTTTCAAAAGGTTCCAATCAAAGCCTGTTTGTTAAATCGGCATCTAGGTCTTCTTTAAATCTTCATCGACCTCGTTCTCAAGGTGACTTATCTCCACCTTCTAAAAAACTACCCCCTAAGCCAACCGGTACGTTGCCAAACCCAAAGAAAAGCGGATTTCTGTCTAAACTATTTTCAAGAAAAAAAGACAAAGATTCAAATAGATCTTCGCGTGAACAAAGCGCTGCCCCGTCCGAAAATAATTTATTAACTGGCTCCAAATTACCTGTGGCAGAGTCGAACTTAAAGAATGCAAGTTCGGGAAATCTCTCAATTTGTTCCAATCGCTCAAACGCAGACAGTATACATATTCCTTTAAAAGATCTCGAAATGGGGAGTAAAACTGGTCAGAGCAAAACAGTTCTCACTACAGATTTGAATGCTAATGATGACGTTCTGTTTAATAACATGGACTTGACAGAAGCAGAACATTACGCACTTTATACTGCAATTGCACCTCATGCCACTCAAAGCGAGTTTGATGAAATGTCATGTTATTATGCTGCTGTTGAAGGCGGTAAAATATTTTCTGATAATTTTGTACGTCCAAAAACATGACGCTTACAAAATTTAACGATCAAAACTTCAATCAAGGAAGCTAGCGATAAGTTTTTGTATTATGTCATAGGGATCCCCTAGGGAGAATGTTGTTACATTTGGAGCAATGTATGTAAAATACTCATTAAAATCATAAGCCGACATAGTAAACTTAACCTAACAGACAACTACCATGTACAGGGCAAAATTTTCTATTAATTATGCGTAGGTCGCAACGATAATATAATCAATCAGATGTAGTTGTCACGTCCTCAATCGCCTTTATTGTCGTTGCGAGAAACACCATTGTGCGTGTCATGCTTGCTTGTACCAAAATGTACTTTCAAGTACCAACGCGCATAAGGCAGACAACACGCATGTTTTACATCGATATTTCATTTCTCATGGAGGATCCCTATTCTGTTGTATTATTGCTAAGTAGCCATTCATGGCAACTGTTTTTTTTTTTGATACTTAATCCTGTGAACAAATTAAATTAAAAAAATATACTTATGTTGTAATACATATTACTGTTTTAGAGCCCGGCATGTTAAAGCGTAAACGACAGAAACACGAAAATGACGCGAAAAATCAATTATTAGTGTTTCAGTTACAGGAGCAGGAAACCAATAGTAAGTTCAATTTTTATAAAACTTATTGGTGCTGGGAAATTCACTCATATTCATTTCCATGGAAAATGTCTATATTTCGCTTAATCTGCTGGTTACTATACTTTATTTACGTCTAAATAAAAAATGCGCCAAACATTATTCCCCCTTAATTCGTACTTTAAAGAAATTAGAGCCAAGAACGTAGGAAGGCTTCAAATAAAATATGCACAATTTTCGGGAATTTAACATGTGATGGTAATTTTCTTTAAGAATCAGTTATGTAAGTAAATACTCTTGTTGTGCAATATCACAATGGTATGCATGTGCCTTAAAAAGGGAAATTTTATTATAAAAAAATTTTTACATTTATTAAAANAAATAATCCGAGTTATACTATTAATATTTACATATTTCTAGTTCATTACCAAAGTTTAATGTGTGTTGTATTGAAAGGAAAGTTATAAGTATACATACGTGATTTATCTGTTCTATTTTAGAGTTCTATATAAATATTATGAAATTTGTATTTTGGCTTTTTTAAATATATGTTGTCTATAAAATTTTGTAGTTGTATCTTACATTCATAAGATTTAAACAAAGTTGGCAGACTCCAAGAAGGATATAAAAAAGGTACTTATAATTAAGGTAATTTAGATGTTTTAGTTTTTAATTTGTAAATAACATTTGTGTGATTTTTCCAATCCTTCTTATTTTGCTTTTAAGAGCCTTAATTTTTTGTATTGCAAAAACTGTTTCAGCTGCTCTCGAGCATATATATTTCCGAATTAAACAAAAACACCATTTTAATAATGCTCATATATTTGCTTTTAATTGCACCGTTATCTTTGCTTTCTATTGTAACATGGGTATTTTTAATGAATGTGAAGCTATTTAACATTTTATACATTAATGGTCAAAATTACTGTTTCTGTTTCAGAAGCGCATTTCAACCAACTTCTCAACATTCCCGTAAATGCGGTAAAAGTTGAACCCAGAGGTAAGATAAGTTATTTTACAATCGATTAACAAGTATGGACTGATAAGATTATGTAATTTTTACCATATTTATTTCTTTATTGACGACCCAGTGATGTTGATAATTTATTTATTGTATTATTGGTCCAAAATTCTAAATTGATTCAAGAGTGTTGTACAATAATAAACAAAGCAATGTTTATTTTGATTGTGATCCATTATGTATTGAATAATAGACCAAATTAAAATTTTATTTTCTTTTATTATTTTTTTGGCATTCCCTTCGTTGTGAAATCTACAAGCTTATCGTACTACGACGATGATAAACCAACTACCTTTTCACAAATACTAAGAAAATATAAAAGATAATAGAAAATACCATAAAATTGAAAAAATATATAATGCAAGAAGTACATATGTTATGCTTTGCAGTGTGTGGTGTTGGATCATTACTTATAGGGAAAGGGTATGTAGATAATAGGGAGTTTTAGAAACTTATTTTGGTACGCAATTTTTGTTATCGTTATTGGGAGCATGAGTAGTAGCAAAAATACCATCATTTAATTAACAGGACAGAGTCCGTTATTTACAGACGAATGTTTCGTTATCGTTATGGTTAAATTTTGAAATGCGATATTGTGAAACTAATCTAAAAGTCACAAGGGTTTATGTACAGTTTTTAACAATTGAGAGAAAATTTAGTTAGAATGCAGACTGCTTACCTACTATAATTTACCTATTATGGCTTAACAATAAAATTTATATTTTCTTAATAGATATACATAACCATACTCAAACATATTTCAAAATAAATACGTTATGATCACCATGACATACATGGCAACGTGCAAAATAGCTAAAATTTTGATAAATCGTACAATATATGCGATCAGTAAGCTAGGTGCTCATAATTGTCACGCCACAATCATATATTCTTTATTTTTGGGGGATTTAAAACTGTTATAAGAAATCCGTTGTTATTTTGTTTCATTTTCTATACGTCGCATGCTCACAATAACTATAAAGTTAACAGCAGTGTTAAAAATTTTTGTGCTCTAAAACTCAAATATAATGGAAAATGAAGTTAACAGAAATCGAAACTGTGAAATGTAATAATAAAATACCTAACTAATCAGAGATTTTTCTTGAGTTCATTATACTACAGCTCCTGTATTTCTAGATACTAGCCCAGCTCCATATGGTGGTCAAGTTTACGGGAATCCAATGTATATTCCGAATGCATCTTCACCACCCCAACAACAATACCGCCTCCCGGTGGAACCTCTCGGCCCGACCCCTCCACCTGCGGATATGCTTTCTTATCACCCAAACGCACCCGTGACTCTCTGTCTCGACATGGTCCAACAACAGTCGTTGTCACCAATGGACAGTTGGAACATACCTTCATGTTCAAATGTCCAACAACAGCCATCTAACAATTTAGGTGCATCCAATTCTATGAATTTCGATCAACAACCCTCTAATAGTGGTTTAAGTAATCTCCTCGATTTGGATAGTCAACAAACGGAATTGAGGCAATTAGAACTGAATTCGTCGGATCTTAAATTCTTTGATACGAACACATTGTCCGAAAATCTTTCAAACAATCTCTCTCTATCGGATGTCTTGCCACCGGATAACAATCAGAACATGACCGACAGCCTCACGAGACTGACTAACAACACCATCGATAGTATATGTCAATTGAATGAACTATGCAAACCGACACCCCCTCAGTAGATTTACAAAATAATCTACTTTATTGGTTTCACTGATCTCTCTTTATGTTTCTTTAATACTTGTCCGGGGTTATTACAAAATTTGAGATTGTAAGTCTCTAGATATTGAAAGATACTGTGATTCTAATACTTAACAAGTTATTGCTTATTTTTTAGTGTCTTAAAAATTTTGTTGTAACCACCAAAATGCACGTTTTTATACACAAATAATAAGAAATATTATATATATTTATAGTTTTTTATCGATGATAACAAAATGATAGTTGTTTTATTAGTATGTTTCGAATGTATATAGTATTTAATAAAAAATACTGATGTTTAAACGTGTTCTTTATATGTAAAACAATATTTAAAAAAATATTTTTTATTACACAAAGAACAAATGAACACATTTACTACTGAGATACTTTACATAAGTCATTTACTTTACATAATTCAATACAGTGTAAAAATGGTTAGCGTTGTATCCGTAAAAAAAACATTGTCAGTATTTTGCAGTCGATCACTGACCGGTAGGTTAAGTGTCATATGTCGTCATATTGATGTAATACTTGCTATCCGATGATTCTCTCCTCCTTAAGACGAAGGTGCCTCGCCGAAGTTTCTAGGTAAGCTGGATAGCACATGAAAAATAATTTGATTGTTCTCCTAATATGTAGATAGAGTATATATATTATTTGCACAGGAACCATATTTTGCCTACTATAACGTTGCACATTATCGCTAATACTTAGTAAACAAAACTGTTAATAATAATACTTTCACAATGTAATAGTGGGGTCGCTGAAAGCTAGCCCAGGTAGCTGCCCAACATGCAACGTTCCAACGAGCAATTCCATTTAAAGTGTGTTTTGAAAACGGTCAAGTTCAGCCAACAAGCGTTAAAACCTTCAATATTTCTTCAACTATATAAATAAACATCTCGTTAATATTTTCGGTAGTAACAGCACATTTGAGCAATGCAATTGTAGTCAATTTTTCCGTGCAGTACTGCACGTTTAATACGCTCCTCACCGGTTAAGAGTTTGGCCGAAAATTGTCTCCTTTCTTTTCTGGCCTAGTGCTATTCTTTTCTACTTTGCGCCGGTCAAAGTGAAGGTCACATCGCTACAGAAACTAAAGGAAGTATACTTCTAATTGACGGACACAGCCATCAAGTGTGCATGAAATAAAAGCAGGTGCACATGGAGGTTCCTTTATTTTTTCATTCTTTCTTTTAAAAACCAGAATTCCGATAAGCTTGTCTGATGTATTCTGTTATCTACATGTCTAAAACTGTTAACAATTCATATGCCCAACAAAAAATGTATCAAGTGAACACTATAGCAGTAAAAAGTCAAAACAAAATTAACCAGAATGACATTTAAGTTTACATTATTAATTAATTTTTCATGTCGGTGCCAAACGATAAACAACGAAATGTACGTTTCAAAAGTAATTGTATGTTGTCAGGAATAAGACATTTTACAGATAGAGCCATCAACACAGATTTAACTTACGTAATTTTCAGCTACCCATATCCAATGGTGTTACTAAATATTAAGTTCTAGGCGTCAATGCGACTAAAAGAAAGAAACGTTATGCAAATAAGAATAAGAAATATTGAAGAACTAATGGATTGTTTCATTTTCGGAGAAGAATTGGGAAGAGGAAATTTCGCCAGAGTAATTTCGGTCAAAGATATTTGTACTGATAATCACTGGGCCCTTAAAATAATCGAAAAACCTAATGTAGGTATGAATTAAATAATTGTTACGAACTTTAAAGAAACCATAAGACAACCGAGCCGAACGTTTCCCTTATACAAAACATGCTTTTTAGTTTTTTTCTTTTAGACATTTGATAAAATGAAATATATACAACATGAAATTGACATTCTAAAATTAGTTAATCATCCTCACATAATATACCTAAATAAGATATATGAATCTTCTTCCCAAATTTTACTATTATTAGAAAAATGCGCAAATACACTACTTTTGGAATATAAAAGACGAAGAAAATTTAATGAAAAAGACGTGAAGAAAATGATTCAAGAAACGGCCAGTGCAATAACATATTTACATAAGCATGGTTCGTTAAAATCTTTTTTTATATACAAATACCCCATTATCTTTAATTGATTTGATTCTCATGTCAATCGAAGTTTTTCATTGAAGATATTGTGCATCGCGACCTTAAGTTAGACAATATATTATTGGGAAAAAATCCAAGAGATCCTAAAGACGCCCTCTACGTTAAACTGAGCGATTTCGGATTGAGTGCAATGAAATCAGGTGTGGGCATATCATCTATGTTCCACGATTTCTGCGGAACGTTATCCTATATGGGTAATAATAAAGTAATAATATTTATTTAGTGAAAGTAGTTGAGAAATGGTAGATTCTGATAGACATGAAGGCCTCTGACGTTCACGACTCTAACGTTTATCGTGGTGGAAGGAGAGAATTACATGTAGCCTTAGCTCGACCTAATCTGGGTGGAAAATCTCCCCAAAGCTTACAAGAGCACCAATATTGTTAAGTGCTAGGGATGCTCGCCTGTCACTCTGACGGCCCGGTTTCTGTTCTCGGCCGATTCAGTATTTTTCTTGTTAATTTACATTTATTTTTCGCTAATTTCTTTCTTCTTTTTAATGTTATACACTTGTTGACGGGTAGGTTAATGGTTAGTATAGGTTGTCCTGATCATCTCTAATTATGTAGACAAAGATAAAAAGTATGTATTAGTCCAGTCACTTTAGATTTAAAAAAAGCTTGGATTAATAAATAAAATACAATTTCTAATACGTGTGACTTTAATTTGTTAAGAGATAAACAACTGAGTTCCAGGAAATCAACATTTTTATCGCACGTCGGATTGAATTTAGCGCTGGACTTTCGTTGGACAGTAGTATCATTAATATTAAGGCATATTTATGATGTAAATTACGAAAAAATTGTTTATAAACGGAGCACAATTTTTGTTGGTAACTTTTTTTTGTATTTGATGTTATATAAAACAAAGAATATATTGTTGAGTGTTATTACTCAAGTTTTACAAAAAACTAACATAATAGTTTTGAGGAAAGAAAAAAAAAACTATTATAAAAAAACACAAAAATCAGGTAGATACAAACTGCTCAACGACTTAACAAATACTGAAAATAAACTGAAGTCAGCTAACTAAAACAGTTACTCCGACCATGTATATGCATTCGAGTAATGGATAGTTGAGCAAATCTAGAGATCGAAATATCTTGTCGCGTTGCCACGGATAACTACATTAATGTACAATTGCAATTGCAATTGCTTCTACCGTACTGCCTAAGCAAACCAATGGTATATCCCGATTGAGGGAGCTCAATTTGCTTCTCACGTTGATTTACTTCTAATCCAAAACGACACTCCGCGAGCCACAAATCCATTATTTCATAATCTTTCTGTTTTTAATTTACCAGAATGCTTTACGTCATTAGACGCGACAAGACTATCGTCTACATACACTAATACTATAGTAGTATAATACAACTCTCATGCTTACAAATAAATAAACATGGTTCTTTTTTCGTAGACTCGAAACCATTCGTAAACTATTGGCGGCCACCACTTCTTAAGTGTTCTAACAATTTTTGGTAATTGTCTAGATGATAGCCCCCACCCCCTTTGGGTGGATGGGATCGAAAGAGGAAGTCTCCCCCACCACTGTACCATAAAAAGTTCGTGGCGGTCTCACGACCCATAAAAAGTTATGGGGGTTAGATGATGGCCCTCCACCCCCTTCGGGTGTGGGGGTGGGGGGATCGAAAGAGGGTGGTCACCTGAGTAAAACCCCATAAAAAATTTGCGGCTGTCTCACCCCCATAAAAAGTAATGGGGGTTGAAAGTTGATTATTTTGACAATTTTCATACACTATAATTCAAATAAAATTCAATAAAAAAATATATAACCTTCTCAATATTTTTATGTATTTTTCATTAGTTTTACCTTTGAATATTGTTTAAGAATGACTATATAACTATTTACATGCCTATAAATGTATAAAAATAGGCATATTTATTAACTTTGAACCCCCATAACTTTTTATGGGGGTGACACCGCCACGAAATTTTATGGTACAGTGGTGGGGGAGACCTCCTCTTTCGATCCCTTCGGAAGTGGGGGCCGTAACTAACGCCGTACCTCTGACTGTACCCCTTTGCCACCAATCGGATGCGTATTATAGTGTATTAACGTTGCAGAATGTTGTAAATACTCCTAGACGATTGGTCACATAAGTTGTCGACTCCAATTGTCGATCCACACGTCTAAACGTAGAAGCTCAGGATTTATCAGTGTTATTAAAAAGACTGATATTTTTTAATTTTTCTTCATGGGCTATTACGCTATTGATTTGATTGCTTATGAGATATTAAAATCAATTAATAAAATGAGGATATTTTTGAAATACAAACATAGCAATACTATCCTCTTCTGTGAATTTAACTTGCAAGAAGCAGCGGTAGCTGATACAACAGTATTATTTTCACAACCCCTTTCAAATATATCCCAAGTATTATTTTTGACTAGCGATGTGACTTCATTTTCGATTGCATCTAACCATTTGTTTAAAACCTCATTATTAAGCGCTTCTTTTACGCTAATTTCTGCTATATTAGAAAACACCTCATCCTCAAACTCGTCTTCATTATCAATTATCATTTGATGTCAGACTTAGCGACTGACAGAACTTTCACGTCGTACACGACTTCCTATTCGAATTACATATTAATCACATTTTTTAGGTTCCCTTTTTCTGGAATATTCACTTGGATTTCAAGTCACAGATCTCAGAGTCAATTTCTTTATTCGACCCTTTATTCAGTACAAGCTACCTTTGATCCGAACAGCTCACATTATTTCATTTGTATGTCTACTTTTCGTATCGAATGACGCCGTCTAAGTTGCTTGTGGTTCCAAAAAGGTAAAGCGGCCATTTTTCCTTTTTGGAATACTTTGTAACGGGAGAACTGTTCCACGTTAATTACGTCTATTTTTGGTAAAATTTTGTCATCTACTAGTTTCACAAGGTCTTGTCTTTCGTGTTAGAACTGTAAATTGATATCTGTTGGTCTGCTGGTTACTGCTTCGGCACATTTGACACTTTTGCACCACCCTTACGGTCGGCAATCATCATTTTATCTGCTTAAGAGCGAAACACGATGGCACAATCTTTCTTCAAAACTATTTCAAAAATTTTTGCAATTGATATTACATTTATTCATAAGTTAGGCACATGTTAACTTCCCACTAACACACTCAGTTTAATCTTGCCTTTAACTTCTGTAGTTGCATCACTCTCGAGATTCAGTCATACCTTCAACGCCTTATTTTCTTTCTTCGGCGGTGCATTATCACCACACAGGTGCAATGTGCACCAACTATCCAAAATCCGTGGCGTGCTTCGGTTTTCGTCTTCGCTTCACACAATTAATTCACGCAGTTCTCTTCACAACTCTCTTTAAGTTTATTTACATTTTTACTTTTGGTAGATCATAAATGCTATTCTTAATAGATTGATAAACTTTTCAAATTCATTTTGCTGATATTATTTGATCCAATTGCAAAATATGCGGAAATGATCAAGAACAATGCTAACCGGATTTATATATTTTATGATATTAACAAACGGTAATACCTCATACCATAAATGTAATTATATGATAAATTCTAAGAATAACATTTCATTTAATACCGAACCACAATCACTGAGTGCCTGCTTCTTCTGTGTAATTTTCTAAGCCTTCAATGCATTTAACAACACCAATAAATTGTAAAAATATGACTTTCACAGTCTACTTTTCCACATTGTGTCTGTTAAAGGCTTCATAATAAGCCTTAATTTGGCTTTAATTAATTCCCAGCATTTGCTGGAAATTACAAATAATTTTTCTGAATAAAACCAAAAAATATTTTTGCTGTCGCAGAAAAATTAGCTTACGTCTAGTCTACCAACAGCAAATTCCAACCATCAACGAAAAATGTGTATGGTTATCATCTTTGGGATCATTTGCATTATTTTTATTTAACTGTTATGTAGGGCCGCTTTCAACTGTATCATGACGGTAAGAATCCGTTATAGAAAACGACTGCATTCCCGGATCCGAATTAACAAATGCATGCTTAGCTACATCGCTGCTAACTGGTAGAGAATATATCTCAATATTGTAATGTTCGTGGGTTCAACAAAATTAACTTCTAAGACTGATAACGACAAAAACTATTTATTTACAGTAATTATTAAAGAACGTAAAAATACTATTAAATTATTACTAAACTTAGGTTATGAATGATTCTATTTATTTATTTCACTGCTATCACTGTCAATTTATTTCTGGATTCACTTCTGCAACGGTCAATTTATTTCTTCTCTTCTCGGCGATCGTTTCTTCCCTTAAATACTCCTTTGTTTACTTTCGGGAGCGTTCTCGAAATATCCGGATAGTCTCTTTTTTTCATTGAACTGTTTAAATGCTTTCCCAGAACGCAGGTACGACACACACATTTACCAATACGGCGCACCTGAAGAAAAGCGCCTGCGGCTAGTCGGCGAATCGATAAACTGTTCACGCACACGCGTGCTCGATCGCACACAAACACACTCGTGCTCGCTACACTGTCCCCTCCTTAAGGATGTTTCGTCTCGAAACATTTTCACTTTCCGTTTCGCAGGGTCATGCCGGAATCTGCAGTTCTCGCCCTCTCATGATTGGTCCGATTCGGGTTGCTACTGCGTCCCAAAGGACTCTGTAAGTTGGTTTATCAGAGAATCTTCCTTTAGTAACTAGGTAATAGATATTGCGTCGTCCGTCAGGCAGCCACAAACACTCTTCTTCCCTTCTGTACTTGGTCTTCAAGATGTCCCAAACCGCCAAATCTGCGTTTGGACTCGGACGCGATACCACGGCTCATTCTGAGATCCTTTGAAACGCAATGGGTCAGAGAGTATGCTTTAGGTATAGCAAAGAGGTCTCGTCGGATTTCTTGCGTCACTCCAAATCTCCTGTTAACCTGAGGGCCTTCCTTCATGAATTCTTCGAATGTGGGCTCGGAAGGAATAGTTCTTCATTTACACCGGTGAATGGAGCCAAGCGATTAAAATGGACTACCTTCGACATCCCATTTGGAGTTTTCTTAATTCGATAGATTACGTCGTAATCCTCTTCACTATCTCATAAGGTCCTTCCCAATTCTGTTGACAGTCCACGACAACGACGAGGATTATACAACCAAACAAGATCTCCAGTTTGGTAACCGCCTGCTGAGCTTTGATATCGTTCTGTTCTTTAATCCTGTCACTAGCAATCTGCGT